TTTTCTTCGCGCCGCCGGCGCCGATGCATTGCCGACGTCGCTGGTGCATCGCAAATGCGTCGGCGGTGCGGCGCGATGCTCCCAACTCCCACCCACATGCGGCAGCTTCGTGTCGTGCCGGCTTCGGCGTCGGTTCCCGACACCGCGGGGATCGTTCAACCTGGAACGATCGGCCATTTCTTCAACGTCCGACCGTTCAGCGATGGGCCGACTCTGGGTCGCTGGGGTCGTTAAACGTTGAACGCAGGCGGCGGGGTCGCCGCCAGTCGAGGCGACGCGAGCCCACCGTACTGGGACCCATCTGGGAGGCTTCTGGACAGGCTCGGCGACGCCGAGGGCCTGCAGCTCCACGACCACGAACTGGCGGCAAAGGTCACGCCCGAGGGCCTCCGCTAAGGAGTCGAAGAGCCCGACCTCACGGGCGCCGAGCCCGGGCCGCCGGCGACAAGAACGACGAAACGACAATCAACGGGGGTACCGTCAAAACGCATGAGAAAAATGCAGGGTACGGGCCTCGGAAAAGAATAGCCAACATGCATGCAACCTTCCTCGGTCAACGCCTCCCCCTCCGCCCAATGTTTAAAGTTGGCGGTGGGTCAGATGAGTTACACGTCGACCGCAATCTCCCCCTCGCGTGCCAACTGTGAGTTTGGTGGAGCGGGGGAGTGTATACTAATTGCTTCCCCCCCTACCGTAGGGAGGCAAGTGCTTTGGAAGGCCATGCCGACAGCGTTCGAGCGGGGCGCGGCCAGCGAAAGTGTTCAAGGACGGCCGAAGGGGAAGGATGCAATGGTAACCTCGGAGCGTCGCTCATCCTGACTATGCCATTTGACTGTAACCGGGGGTATGGCGACTCGAATCCCCGACTTTTGTGGTGCCATCCAATGGACGAAACAATTTTTTTCAAGCTCGGGGGTATACGAAGGGTGGCGTCCATCTTCGATGGGGGTGCGTCCGAGAAGCCCCCCAGGGGTGTGTATCCTCGAGTTTTCCTCCTTTTCTGAGCGGCCAATTGTTTTCGGGCGGAAGTCGAGGATTGGGATTGATATATCGTCGGCGGGAAGAAGCGGGTGTTACGTGCGATGACACAACGACCCGACGCAGTGGCTTACGCGGGCCGCCAGCGCGGCACGCTGCACTGGAAGCGATAGCCCTTGCCCGCGGCCTGACGCGCGGGCAGCTTGCGCGCGAATGTCCGCGCAATCAGCCCCGCCAGCCCGAGTCGCCCACACGGCTCCCCGAATCTTGTCGTTCCTCCTTCGTTTCGGCCTCCAAAAGGCCGCTTGCGAGCCCGGGGGCCATCAAAAAGGGATCAGGGGTGCCACGCTGCCCCCGGGGAATGGGCCGGGAACTCTGGGGCCGCGGTCTGAAAGGAGCGGGCCGGAGGATGTCTTGGAAGATGTGTCAGATCCACATCCATGCCCTCCCGGACTGGACGACGATTGGGGAACGTCAGCTGGCTATCTCACCGATCTTGTTTTTTCGCTGCAGTGCCCACCGGGGGATGGCACCCTGGTTACCCAAACAGTGCTTGCACAGAAGGATTCTCTTTTTTGCTTCCTGAAATAATGGATGAGTCCGTCGAGGTTTCGCCGCGTCGCCGCCCGTTGCCGCCTCGTTGCCACCCACTTGGGGGGGTCGGTCGATGTCTCGCCGCGTCGCCGCTCGTTGCCGTCCACTTAGATCGACTTTGGGGGTCTGTCGATGTCTCGCCGCGTCGCCTCCTGTCGTCGCCTCGTTGCCGCCCACTTGAGGGGTCCGTCGAGGTCTCGCCGCGTCGCTTCTAGTCGCCGCCTCGCTGCCGCCCACATGGGAGGGTCCGTCGAGGTTTCGCCGCGTCGCCGCCCATTGCCGCCTCGTTGCCGCCCCCTTGGGTGGGTCCGTCGACGTCTCGCCGCGTCGCTGCTTGTTGCCGCCCACTTGGGTGCTCCGTCGAGGTCTCTCCGCGTCGCCGCCGTTGCCGCCTCGTTGGGGGGTTCCGTCGAGATCTCGCCGCGTCGCCGCCAATTGCGGCTTCGTTGCAGCACGCTTGGTCCGTCGAAATTTTGCCGCGTCGCCGTCTGTGGCCGCCCCATTGCCGCCCACTCGTTGGTTGGCCCGGTGCCGCCTGTTGCCGCCCGTTGCTGCCTCGTTGCCTTCTTGAGGGCTCCGCCAGCCATTCGCCGCGTTGCAGCTCGGGGGGTCCGCCGAGGATTCGCCTCGTTGCCGCCCGTTGTCGCCCTCTGTCGCCTCGTTGTCGGTTTGGGGATGAGGTCGAGGTCTCGCCACGTTGCCGCCCATTGCCACGCCACCACATGGCATATCTTACGCTACAGAGGTTGCACCGTGTGGACAACACCATAGCTTACGCCATATAGCTCACATAATGTATCTTGCGCCACATAGCTTACATATTCACAATGCGATAACTTACTGCTCGGGGTCCATGCCAGCTAACATGTTTTCATAAAGGGAATTCTTCAGGCTCTAACTGTGCCCTGGCCCCCAGACTGCGACAACAAAGGCTCCTGCTGGATGCTTCCTCGCAATGTATTCACAATCGCGCTCTAGCTCATTTTTTTCGCAATTTACTATGGAATCTCGCTCTCGCGAAGGACTTCCGAACACTTTACCCAGACGCTGCGCTCTCGACGTCTAGGATCCGCGCTCTCGCTCGAGACGCCCTTAGACTTTACTGAGGCCTCGTGCTCTCGCTCTGGAGGCTTCCCCACAACGCACGCAGCTCGCTCCAGTGCCCCGCCAATCCACGAGGGCCCGACCCGCCCCGTCAGGGTCTGCCCTCCCCGGCCCGCTTCGCTTGCTTGGAAAGCCGCTGGATCGCTTGAATGTCCCGCCCGCCCGACCCGCCCATCGGGGTCTGCCCGACCGACTCGCCCCTTGGGTCCGCCCGCCCTAACCCGCCTGTGAAGGTCCGCCTGCTAATCCTCCTGCTTCTCTTCCCCCCCCCTCCTGCTACATCTTTGTCTTCTGATGTCCTTTCTCCCTCCTGCCCCCCTCCCGTCTGGTTGCCTCCTTCCTTCTTTGCTCTCTCCCTTCTTCTTTTTCTCCCTTCTCTCTCTATTTTACGGGCCGCGACAACTTCACGTGGCAGGCAGAGAAGACATACCCCCTAAAGGGGGGCACGATCGAAGGCGAAGAGGGCCGTTATCGGGGGGTTGGAGGCATGCATGTCGAATGACACGCGAGGAGCGAAGGCCGAACGCGCATACCATGATGGTTGTTTTGGATCTCTCACTGTTAAAAGAGGTTTATTGGAGATCCCCTGCCAGGCACACGTTGGTTTTGAATGGAAGCGACCCCCGGAGGAAATCTACGAACTCGGGAACACTCTCCAAACTATCGGGGGAAATCTCCAAACTTGATTTTGCACCCTGCATCTCCGAACTCCAACTGCGCCCTCGGGCCCTGGACCACTGCAACAACGGCTCCAGCCTGATACCCCCTCACAATGTATTCGCACTCGCGTTCTAGCTCAACACTTCCTTACAACTTACCGAGGAATCGAGCTCTCGCCTGGAACTTCGTTGTGATTTCTTCTTAGGCGCTGCGCTCTCGGCGTCCAGGAGTCGCGCTCTCGCACGTGACTTCCCAAATCATTTACGTAGGACTCGTGCACTTGCCGGCGGCTTTTTCACAATTTCCGAAATTCGCTTCAATGCCCTGCCAACCCGGCCTGCCCGACCCGCCAATTTATGTCTGCCCGCCCGACACGCCCGTGAAGGTCCGGCCGTTCGGCTGCTTGGAAGCTCGGCCGCCCGCTTCAATGTCCCGCCAGACCCGCCCGTGATGGTTCGCCCGCACGACCCGCCCGTCGGCGTCCACCCACCCGACCTGCCCGTTACGATCCGTCCGCCCGACCTGCCCGTCAGGGTCCAGCCGTTCGTGTGCTCGGAAGCCCGCCCGCCCGCACTGACACCCGCTCACCCGACTCCCCCCGTTAAGGTCCGCACGCCCGACCCGCCCGTCAGGGCCAGCTCGCCCGTCAGGCCTCGCGTGCCAACATCCCACCAGCCATTTGGGCGAAGGTGGCCTAACGACATCTCTCTTTTCCCTTCCAAGTCCTCTTCCCTTCGGCGAGGGGTGCCCTTCCCCTCCCCTCGTTCAAGATAGTCGAAGATGGTTCAAGATAGCTTCCGACATACATCCAAGAGGCCCGACCAAGGCCACAAGCCGGTTCCGAATGCTCTCGAAGCCTCCTTAGGACCTCCCGAGAGATCCAACTCCTTTCAACACCGCAGGACATATCATATTTTTGTTTTCTCGCCTCCTCCGCTTCCGATGCGCTTTTGAGGCCGCAAGACTGTCCCACGTTTTTCATACATACCCCCCACGCACTCGCCTGAAGGTTCGCACGCACAATCGAAAAGTTGGCCCAAGAAGGGCCCAAGAGAGCCCAAAGAAGGGCCCAAGAGGCCTCACGATTGCCCCAAGAAGGGCCCAAGCGAACCCCAAGAAAGGCCCAGTAGGTCCCCCAGACGGCCCCAAGAGCGCCCAGAAGCTCTCAGAAGGGGCCATAGAAACGATTTTGAGGGGACCCCACGAGGGGGGGGGGAGGGGCGGGGGGCTGGGTATGGCCCCCCCCCGCTTTTGATCGATGGCCTCCAAGATGGCTCCATGAGGCCCTCCAGGTCTCCCAGGATAGCACCAAGAGAGCTCCAATATGGCCCCGAGAGCGCTCCAAGAGCGCCCAAGAGCGCCCCCAAGAGCGTCCCACGCCCCAAGAGGCGGTTAGCCTCCTCCTGCTCTTCTTCTTCCTCCTCCTCCTCCTCCCCTCGCCCCCCCGCGGGCCCCAGGGATGGCCCGAAGCGGCCCTCTAAGGCCACCCCCTTGCTCCCAGAGATCTCTCTGTTCATCCTGGTTGACCGCCTTGTTTCGCTATATGTGTCTCGTCGTCCCTTTTGCCCGTCAAATCTCCTGGGCAGGGTTTCTGAACGAGCTGGTGGGGATACCCTTTTTTTGGTTCGCGGCTCCAAGGCGAGGGACAGGGAGCGGGCACAACGTCCGGGGCGCGGTACGATGTAAATTGGCCGCAGTGGCGTATGCACATGCCAGGGACAAAATGCCCCTCATTGAGACGCAAGATCAGGGCCCCGTAGACCCGGACACGCTAGACCCGGACACCCAACATCCCTCGAAACCAATTTATCCAAACGGCGGCACGAACAAAATACTGCACTGCAGCGTTTCCAAAATAAACCCGGACACAGGCCCCAAAAGCCTGCAAGACCCCCCTAAACCCGGACACATTCCCGAATCCTGCAGTGCAGCAAACAAAACATGCACGGGTGCTAAAAAACGTGACTTTGCAGGAAAGGATGTCGTTTCCTTGGTTTTCCGTGTCCTGGTTTATCTGTGTCCTGGTCTCCGGGGGCCTGACAAGACAGCGTCGGCAGATGACCGGCCCAGACATCCGAACTGGTGGTGGGGGTACGTTTTTTTTTTTTTTTTTTTTTGTTTTCTCTCTCTCTCTCTCTCTCTCTCTCTCTCTTTCTTTTTATTACTACAGCCGCAGGCGGAAGCGCCAGCGGCGGAAGGTCGCGAACGGGCCGCGGACGCGACTAAATTACCTAACGCGTGCAGGGCCGCGGATCAGGCGGCACACGACAGCGTCCAGGGAAGCGAAGATGATGCAATCCAGGTGCCATGACGGCCCCTGAACGGGCATGCAGGTGCGTCCAACAGGCCTGGGATAGGCACAGAGACCACCAAGCGCAGCCAAAATGGCGCGAAAACGTTCCAACGTCCACAAGTGGGGATACCCGAAGCGTGGCAAACTATTGCTCCTCTCTCCTCCCCGTTCTGCTGAACCTCTTCGCCCTCAATTCTCCTCTCTTCGTCTTGCCCCCACTCCCTTCTCGTTTCCTCCTTATTTCCTCGCTATCTCCCTTTTCCTTTCTCCTGTTTCCTCCTCTTCAAGGAACCTCCAACTACACGTGGCAGGCAAAGAAACTGTACTCACAAAAGGCGTGCGATCTAGGATTTGGGGTATACATGTTGAGTGACACGCGAGCAACGGAGAGCGAACAGTCTGAAACTGATGGGCCTGAGGTGCTAAACAATTATTACCGTTGGACCCCCGCAGTGCGCTCTGGCGCTCTCGCCTCGGTGCTGGCTGCTTTTCCTTGAAAAACGAAACTCACGCTTGAGCGTTGTGGGTGCTGCCGGCACCGCCCCCTACAATAATAACAACACCACCAGCAACAACCCCAACAACACCACCAACAACAGCAACAACATCACCAACATCAGCACCACTACCAACAACAACAGTAGCATCAGCAACAATATCAACAACAACATCACCGATAACGGGAGCAACACCAACAACACAAACAATAGCAACAGCAGCAATAATAACAATAGCAGCAACAACGTCAACACTAATCTTAATGCTGTTCGCTCTTATCCGCTCGCGTGCCATTCAACAGATATATCCCGAAACCTCGATACCCGCTCTCTTTGTTTTCGACCACATCCCCTTGGGGGTATATTTTTCTTACCTGCAACGTGTATGTCGTGCAGTCCTTGAGGCAGCAAGAGAGGACTGATGGAAGGAAGGGACAGGGGGAAGGGAGGAGGATGGAGCACGAGAGAGACTAGGAGGAGGGGGGCTAGGAGCAGAAAACACGTGGCAGAACCAGACGGGCAGATCGGGCGGGTAGACCCTACCAGGCGGGTCGGGAAGGAGGGCCCAAGCGGCCAAATCGAGCAGGCGGGTTGCTGAAGCGTGTGTCCCGAATGGATCGCGAGGAAATCTCGAGCGACAGCTCGATTCCCAAATCAACCGTGAGGACATCCACAGCGAGAGCGTGACTCCTGAATGTCGAAGACGCGGCGTCTGAATAAATTGTACGGAAGTCCCACGTGAGCGTATCCATTGTTAGGAAGTCCTGCGCGAGAGCGCGATTTGGGAATCCATTGCGAGGAAGTATCAAACGGGAGCCGTTGCACCCCTTGGGGGTATATCTTTCATACCTGCAACGTGTCTGTCGTGCAGTCCTTGAGGCAGCGGGAGAGGGGACTGATGGAAGGAAGGGACAGAAGGGGAGGGAGGAGGATGGAGCACGGGATTATCAGGCGAGGGGGCTGGGAGCAGAAAGCACGTTGCAGATCCAGTCGAGCGGGTAGACCCTAACGGGTGGGTCGGGAACGCGGGCCTAAATGGCCAGATCGAGCAGGCGGCTTTTAAGCATGGGGGCCCCAGTGTGCCCGCACCACAGGTCAGTCACTCTGGCGAAAGGTCAATCCTACGAATTGCCACTCCTCCTCCTCCTCCTCCTCCTCCTCCCCCTCCTCCTCCTCATTGCCCGCCCCTAGCGACCGCCGTGCACCTCGCGTCCTCGTCCTCGCTGCTCTGCGATAGCCGGATGACGGTCATCAGGACGCGGTCACCGCGCTCCCCGGGTCGCAGGTGCGATGCGAGCGTGGCAAGGGCCTCCGCGGCCCCCTGGCGGACCTCCGGGTCGAGGAGCAAGCAGGACACGACCGGGAGGAGGTCGTCCACCGGAGAAGCGGGGAATGAGGATGAGGAAAGAAGGGGTGCGGGGGGAGTAATCCCCTCGCGGACCTCGGGTCGAAGAGTCCGAAATGCACAGGACACCACCAAACTGAATGCTGAGGAAGGGGAGGGGGGGCCGGAGAGAAGATGCTGCGAAGAGGCGAAGGAGGAGGGGATAAGGCACTGCAGGGGAAACGTCGCGCAGTGCGCGGAGGAGGAGGAGGAGGGGGAGGAGGAGGAAGAGGAGGAGGAGGAGGAGGAGGAGGGAGGAGGAGGAGGAGGAGGAGGAGGAAAAAGAAGAGGAGGAGGGAGGAGGAGGAGGAGGAGGAGGAGGAGGAGGAGGAGGAGGAGGAGGAGGAGGAGGAGGAGGATAGGGAGGAGGAGGAGGAGGGAGGAGGAGGAGGAGGAGGAGGAGGAGGAGGAGGAGGGGGAGGAGGGCCAGGAGGAGGGCCAGGAGGAGGATGAGGAGGAGAAGAAGTAGAAGGAGGATAATGAGGAAGCTGATGATGATGAGGAGAAGGAGGAGGAGGAGGAAGAGGAGGAGGAGGAGGAGGAGGAGGAGGAGGAGAAGGAGGAGAAGGAGGAGCGAGGAGGAGGAGGAGGAGGAGGGAGGAGGAGGAGGAGGAGGAGGAGGAGGAGGATAGGAGGAGGAGGAGGAGGAGGAGGAGGAGGAGGAGGAGGAGGAGGAGGAGGAGGAGGGAGGAGGAGGAGGAGGAGGAGGAGGAGGAGGAAAAGGAGGAGGAGGAGGCGGAGGAGAAGGAGGAGGAGGAGGGAGAGGAGGAGGAGGAGGAGGAGGAGGAGGAGGAGGAGAGCGGAGGATGAGAACAAGAAGGAGGATGGCGAGGAGGATGAAGAGCAGGGGCGAATAATGATGAGGAGGGCAAGGAGGAGGTGGAGGAGAGCCGAGGATGAGGAGGAGGGCGAGGAGGAGGAAAAGGAGGAGGAGGAAAAGGAGGAGGAGGAGGACTCTGAGACTCTACGCTTCCTTGAGGGGTGGAAGGTCCCCAGGTGGTTGGGCATTACAACGAGCAACCACCTTTGTGGGCCTGACGGCCCGCAGCGAGCCTCGGACCGCTCCTGCCTGAATGGGTGTGGTAGTCATCGTGGCCGCTATCTGGAGATCGTATGCGCTGTGTTGCTAAGGGGCGCGCGCCCCACGGACCCTTGGCCGTGCACCTTGGCCAGGGACACAGGATGGGGAAACAAGGGGGCAAGGATGGATGGATGTGGATACCAGCGAGGGGCATGGGAAAGCGGGGGGCAGGAGGAGGAGGTGGAGGAGGGGGAGGAGGAGGAGGAGGAGGAGGAGGGGGAGGAGGAGGAGGAGGAGGAGGAATAAGAAGAGGAGGAAGAGGAGGAGGAGGAGGAGGAGGAGGAGGAGGAGGAGGCGGAGAAGGAGGAGGTGGAGGAGGAGGACGAGGAGGTGGAGGAGGAGGAGGAGGGGGAGTAGGAGGAGGAGGAGGAGGAGGAGGGTCCACAATCTTCTCGTACCCGCTCTCGGGGTCCGACTGTATGAGGAAGCCGGCGAGGTCTCCGAACTGCTGCACGAGAGATTGCCTCACCTGCACCTCGGGGTCGGAAGCCAGCCTTCTGACGATGGGCAGCAAGTGCACAACGGTCGGGTCGTAGCCGACCTACGACCGGACGGAATCGACGACCCCTCCCTTGCCTTGAGGGTGAACGGCAAGGGTCGGAGGAGGAAAAGGTACGGATACAACTGCCCTTTCCTCGTTTTCGCCTCTGTGGGCCTCATGGCAAGCCCTCGTCATCAAGGCTAGATTCGCCTCGAACATCTGGTCAGAGCGCACCCCGGGAGAGGTCTGGGGAATAGCGGTTGGTTTCCCCAAGAGGGGGGGCGGCTCAGGAGTGAGTGATCGGCCTGGAGTCAGCGATACACCGCCAAAAGATCGGCGATAGGCCCCCGGGGCTATCAGGCCCCTATCGGCGATACACGCTTCTGGATGGGGTGGGCTATCAGGCCCCTATCGGCGATGAGTGGGCGACTGGGGGTCGATCCACCCCTTCCTGGGACTAGACCCCCCGATCGCTGTCCCTGAGCATGCCGCAATTGTGCTTCCTGGCGCAACAGATAAGATTCGATCTCGACTCCGTGCCGATGCCTGCCCGATCCGATACACACTTCGATTCGACCTGGTTTCCCGATCGATGCAGACTGATCGGGCCCCACAACTCCAAGAACAGCAAGAGCATAAGCACACGATTTCGGAGGTCTGCGCGAATTTCTTGGACGGCAGGCTGGACGGGCGCTAGGCTCCCCCTCTCGGCGCCTCCAGCGCCCCCAGCGCGCTTCATGCGCCAGAGAGGCTTCAGTATGCGCATTTCCAGTGTACATCAACATGCACACATGTCTATATATATACACGTGTGTTCGACCTAGGCTTCTGCGTGCTCATGCCACGCGTCGTTTCTCATCGCACGGCCCCGGCCGTCTCCCAGGGGGGCGAAGCGTACCATCTTCGAGCAAGCCCCGAACACTTGAGCGTTTCTAAAACCACACCTAGGCCAATTTACGTTGTTGACGCTGGAGGGGCCAACGAGCTCAAGAAACTAGGCCAGCTTTCCGGCAAGTTGGCTGAGACACGCTGGCCTAACTTTTCGGGAAGCTTCTTAACCAGATGCTCGACCGTATGACGGATCGCCTCCCTTCCAGCCCTTCCCCGTCACTCGCACCCCCCCCTTCCCATGCCGCTCTTCTTTCGGCCTGCCCGACTATGACCGCAAGGTTGTAGTTCCCGTGCCCTGCTTCCTCGTCTCCCTCCGCTTCCCCCTCCCCTGCTCTCCCTCACTTCCGACGCCCTGGACAAGGAGCTGGCTGGAATGGTGGATCCTGCAGCATCCTCTCCCCCCCTCTCAATCCTCTCTCTATGTCCGGCGGCGAGCCCGGGGGGAAGTGAGAAGGAGAAGGCCTTCTCAGAAGGCTCGAAAGCCCGCCGGCCTTCTGACACATTTTCAAGCCTTCCCCGAAGACACAACATAACTTCTCAGAAGGCCAGAGGGCCTCTGAGAAGTCCCGCCGCCTTCTGAGAAGGCCTTCTCCTTCTCACTTCCCCCCCTCGCCCGCCGTCGACCTGTATTTAGGGGAACAAGCAATGACATAAACATGAAAACTCGGAGGTCCGCGCGGATTTTTCGGATCGGCGCTGGACCCGGCGCGCGGAACGCGCCAAAGGCGGCGCCTGAGGTGCCGCTGGGGGGGCCCAGCGCCGATCCGCGAAATCCGCGCGGACCTCATGTTCGTTTAGGCTATGCTTAGGTTTTGTGTTTGTACCAGCTGGGGGCGAGGCGAACGAACCAGGAGCCCGCCGCGCTCCTGTCGCGAGGCCGACAGGAGGGGCGCACGGCAGGTGTCCAGGGCGCGGTAGGGCCGCCACGGCGCAGCGCTGTGTGTGTGTGTGTGTGTGTGTGTGTGTGTGTGTGTGTATGTGTGTGTCTCTCTCCCCTCCTCTGGGCGTTTGGCAAGGATGTCCTCGTGCGGCACTCGGTCGAGAACCCCGCCTCCCGGCCTCCGCCCTGGCGCGCTTGGACGGGGCACTGGTCCCCACCAACTGGGCTCCTCACTCCCCGTATCTCACCGCTCCGCTCTGTGCCAGCTACCACGGCTGGCCGCCCTGACAAGAAGACCAAGCATCTGAAGCCTACCTTAGGAAACAATTCCTGGGGGGTCTTCGTACGAGTTTTCACATCTTAGGAAGCCTGATTGGGGAACCGTAAAGCTGGACGAGGCTGGATTAAGCCTGGGATTCTGCCTGAACAATCCGGATCCAGCGGGATTCAGCCAAGTGAAATCGGATTCTGCCTTTTTGATCACGGATCTGCCAGCGCCGATGCTACATTTGACCTCCGAGGAATTGCATCCTAGCCTACCGACTCCAAGCTCGCTCGCAAGGGGCGTCTGCGTCGAGGCCCTCCGCAAAGCAGGCGCTGATCGTGCCACCACTGCTTACGATCAACTCCTTCCTGTCGCCTCCATCGAGCTCGACCGTACTTACCACGAGCGGGCCGACCACCCCAACGAGCGGCCGCAAGGCCCTCCCACGCCTCTGCGGCCAGCACACCATCAGCTGGACCCTGGCGCACCACCAGGCCAAGGGTCACCAAGCCCACGGCGAGCGGACGACCCCAAGCGCTCGGGCCGCCGGCAAAAGAGGCCGATTCGCCGCAGCTGAGCCTCGATGCCGCCCAACGTCGGTCCCAGTCGTCGCCCAACCCAACGCGCGCTCCCAGTCCCACTGGTCAGTCCCAGTCGTCGCCCACCCGACGGGCAGTCCCAACGACGACGCGTACACGAGCAGCATCTCCCTTCACGTTCGCGCAGAATGAGAAACTTTGCTCAGCCAGCTCCGCAGCCAAGACCGACCACTGGCCACAGCGGCACTCGGGCCAAGGAGCCCCCTCTGCCGACGGAGGCGGCCCTCCCTTCTCTGCAAAACGCGCCGCTGCGGCAGCGAAGGCCCGGCCCGCTCACGCGGGTGGTGCGACCTGCCAATCTGGAGTCGCCGAGGTCGAGTGGTCCAAGTCACGCTCGATCCAGCCCTCGACGTCGCATATGGATCTGTGTCACCATCCGCGAGACAGAGGCCACCGACTCCCTCGACATGGTGCAAGGGCCGTTCACAGCGATTCTCGGCGGCGGCCCCTGTATCTGCCCAGCAGGCCGCCCAGAAGTGTCACAGGGCCAACGCCAAAGTAACGCCAAGCGTGAGCTGGACGAAGCTTCCCTTGGCGCAGGCATGGCCTCGTTCTTTCGTTCCCAGGTGCACAGAAACGCTTACAGGGGATCGACGGGGAGAATGATGGGGGGGCATTGAGGGGGGAAATGCAATCTCCGAGAAGCCAGAGCGCAGCGCAAAAACCCTCGTGGAAACCAGCGTTACCCACGCCGAATTATCCAAAGGGACTTAGATCAGGCTCGCTTGCGGCGCAATGAAGTGGTTGTGAACGAAGCTCGTCCACGACCACTTGGTCGCTACCACGCTCCGAG